TGTGCTGCTCTCTGGGGGAGGGGAACACTCAGCCACTGCACTGGGCGGATGCTTAGTAGACACACCAGTTTTCTAAGACTTAGTAGGAAAAAAAAGCAAAATGGCTCATTAATAATTAAAAATATCGATTACATGTTAAAATGAAACTATTCCAGATATATTTGGGTTAAATATCTTTTTAAAATTAATTCTGCCTGCTTCTTTTTATTTTTAAAACTGTGGCTATGAGAAAATTTTAAATTACCCATGATTAGCTCGCATCTGTGGCTTGCTTTCTATTTCTATGGGATGGCACCTCACTGAAGCGATCCTTTCTTTCTAGGTTGAATCCATGGTCCCCAGAGGATCCCGACAAGTGTGCTCCCACCCTCGTGCTGGCTCACCTGCTCTTCCGGAGTCCGCTCCTGTATTACCTTCTGAGAGGTCCTCCCTGACTCCTATCCATTCCCCTGCTCTACTGCGTGAGCCCGATCATCATCCCCCCAGCTGGACCTCGAACCCCTCCTTAGTGCCTGAGTGCCTTCATCACCCCACTCCTATGCCCGTCCTCCCGCTGCACTGTGAGTTCAAGGACATGAGGACTGGATTTGTCTCCTTCACTTCCACATCCCTGGCTTGAAGCACACAGCATCCAGTACCAAAGACTGGCTTTGAAATATTTGTTTGAAAGAATGAATGGAGTGAATTCAGCTCCATTTACCCACAAATATTTCTCTTTCAGACACATGGTCTCATAATTTCATTAAGTTTCTAATTTGTTATGATCACTGCTCTTTGAAGAAACGAACAGAGGAAACTGCAATGGTTAATGTGGCTTTACCCACTGTCTTATCGTTTCATACATTATCTACATATCTATATCTATATCATCTATACAAGGGGATTTTCTTGTTAAAGGATACATGTTGGATTAACTGGAAGGAACATGTATTGGACTCACAGACTGAAATGCTTAATTCAAGCAAAGGAAACACTATGAAACTTTGCACAGTGGAAGACAGGGGGACTGAGGGACAGGGTTGCTAAAAGCCCCCTGTGAAGGCCTCTTATGCAAAACGGGTTGTTTGTGACAGAGAAACAGTTTCTAAATGTTATTACATTTGTTGTTTTAACAATACTTGGTATTTTTATTGCATTTCATGGATTAGGTGGTACCTTTTGGCTTCAACAGAGAAAATATTTTTTCTCTTAAAATAACTGGCAAAAAATAGTACAGGACATTTTTGAGGAAATGCAGCTTTCAGGAGAAACCAGCAGGTGGGGAAATGAGTAACTATGTGGGAGCCAGAACAACACAGCAAGGGTCCCCCTCACTCCCACACTCTCACATTCATGCAGACACACCTGACATTCACACACATTCACCCCACACCCATACCCACATGTAGACCTCCCACACACTCCCACTTGTTCACTGCTAGTAAATGTGTGTGTCCCCAAGATTCACATTGGGATCCTAATGCCCAATGAGACGGTGTCAGGAGGTGGGGCTTCTGGGAGGTGATTATGTCATGAGCATAGAGCCCTCATGAATGGGATTAATGATCTTATAAAAGAGATCCCACAGAGCTCCCTAGCCCCTTCCACCATATAAGGATATAACAAAAAGTCTGCAACCCGGAGGACACCCTTCACCCAACCATGTTAGCACACTGATCTTGGACTTCCAGACTCCAGAAGTTGGAGAAACAGATTTCTGCTGTTATAAGCCACCCAGTCTATGGTATTTTGTTATAGCAGCCTGAATGGACTAAGACATTCACACACATGCACTTACACGCATATTCCTATAGATATATCCACACCTACACCCACACTCATATCCCTCGCACATTTGAAAGACTTGCATGCATTCACACACATATTCACACATAACCTTTGTACTCACACACATATAAACAACGCATGTCCCCATATCACTCACATACACGCCCACATATACCCACACTCACACATTCATACACACTCTCACAGGGACTGTGCCCATTCAGCACCTGGTGGTTCTCCTCTTATGTAAACATCCTGCAAAAATGAAAGGTCACCTCACTGTTTCCCCAACTGCAAGAGAAACATGCTCTCATGTTTTTCACAGGCTAATGGGGTTTTACTTGGGGCTTCCTTTGCTGCGAACACCTGAAATTCCCTTCTCTGCCGTGGTGGGGTATCCCCTCATTGGGTTTCCCAGTATTAATCACAGTTAAAAAAAAACCCCACCACACGCATGTCTGTGCTTCCTTTCCCCAGTGAGGTCTAATTTGGGCCCCACCACAAAACACCTGGTCTGGCTGCAGCGCTCTTTCTAGTCTGACGTTCAGATGAGTCCCTTGTGTCACAGCACCACCCTGTCAAATCCCCAAGCCTAACTTAGAGTAGCCTGAGGAATCCCTGGTCAGAGGAGTGGGACAGGAGTGGTTCCAAACAGAAGGGGCAGTGATTTCCGCCTGGGAAAGGCTCTCAGGAACAAGCACCATGTGACCTCTCATTAGAAATCATTTCACCTCCTTAGAGCTGTTTCCACATTTGTACAACAGGTGGTGGGACTGCGTGCCAATTAAATCCCTTTGGCGCTTAGAGGTCTGTGATCCTGTGGTCCAAAGCAGGCCTGCTCGTCTCAGTAACTCTGACCAGTGTTTTGTTCCCATTCCCAGGTGAGTGGCCTACTTGGGGCCACTGGAAGAAGCCCAGGATTTGGCATGAAAGGGACTTAATCCAGTAACAGTCCTGCAAGACTGAGGACTAGATCCAACTTTCCTTAAGGAGCCTCTCAGGCTGGGCAGGCACTGAATGTTTTGAAGGTGCCCTGTCATGACCACTATCAAGTTATAGAAGCTTCTAGTATTTGCATTTTTTATTTATTATTCAGGCCAGTTCCAGTCCAAGCATCTACAATTCTGGCTCCACATAAGGGAAGATTTTCTGACAATGAGGGATGCCCATCGTGGCACGGACTGCAGAGAAAGTGGAATTCTCCCTGTCTCAGAGGTCCCGGCAGAGACATCTGCGTGTCCTGGCTAATATGGGACCAATGTTTCTGAGAGGAAGGGTGGACTGGAAGAAGACTGAAGTCCCTTTGAATTCCAAAACCTCATTTTATAACTTATGCTTTGTGTGGATTAGGGGCAAGATCAAAATGAGAAGCAGAGAAGAATTTGCATATGCATGTTTTCTAAGCATTACCTAACGACTGCTTATTCTGACTCAGCTCTGATTCTTGTGTCAGAGTGTGTGATCTAAATTCTGTTACAGTGAGAAGCACACAGCATGGTACTGGGTACATGTGGCTTTCACCATTAGGATAAACATTCATAATGCAGTACCGTTTAATTTTTCTTTGGTGGCCCCAGCAATTGTCCTATGCGTGTGACCTCTCATTTGTAAATCCCCACAGTGGTCTTGTCAGTTACACAGATAGATACGAGTGTCACTCCCCGCGTTCTACAGAGAAACCCTGCGGCAGAGGGGAGTGAAACAGACGAAAAAACCACCTATCTTTTCAGATCACTTGTGAGGACATTTGGGGAGGAGAAATCTTTATGGGAGCAGGAATTTTGGTTTTAACCACTTACTTGTGAAAATGAAAACTAAGAGCCAAGAACTGAGCTGGGTTCTTTTGTCACATTCACAAATATGGCTGCTCTAAATGTCTTGCTTTGAGCACTGTCTTGCTAGTACGAATGGCTTTATTTTAAAATAAACTTGAAGCTCCCGTTTTAGTTTAAAAGTAAAGAGCTTGATTATGACTCACCAAGCTATTTATAGTAGGCTCCTCTTATACCTGACATTTTTCGAGTGAGAGAGAGAAAGGAAAAGAGGGAGAAAGAGCTGATTGGTTGCCTGGCTCAGTCCTTAAATCTGAAGAAGACTGTAACTATCCAAACCTGTCGTGCTAAGCCCATCAGAGAGGACTTTTGATTCCTTACTCTGACCCTTCTGGTTTTGTGCTCACCAACTTCAAAATTCCAAAACTGTTTGTTTACCCTTAGCTGGAAGAGGTGCAGTGAGAGGTCTGGGGAATGAGGTGGAGCACAGCTCACCTGAAAACCTCTGATTATGAGCCTGCCAATCAGTGTCTCAATTCAAAGAGCATTTTCTTTCAACCTTTTCAGTCCTGATGCAGCAGAAAGAGCTCTGGGCCGGGTTTCAGTCCAAGCTCTGCACTCAGTAGCTGGGGGACTCTGGGAAGAACTTGCTGTCTCTGACCCCCAGTTTTTGTATTCGTTAAATGGGGATGCCTAGTACCCACCTCATAGGGTTTTGGCAAGGATTCAGTGAAACCACTGCCAGCTTTCAGCACTTGTTGAAACTCTCACATCCTGAAATAACATTAGGCTGCATTGTTTTCTGGAAGGTTGTTTGATTTACTGCTGTTTCGCTACTATTCCTGAGGAAGAGCTGCTTTCCTTTTCTATTCATGTTATTTCTTGCTATTATTTGTGTTCCTGAGGTAGGGCAGCTTTCTCCCTCCCTTTTCAATGACCATAGAAAATATATTCTTAAATATCCACATCCACAGATTTCCCGTCTTTAATTTCCCAAAAAGCGCATAAGTCTGGTGGCAGAGTCACTGCTGGGCACACTGTATGTGGGAGAGGGCAATGGGCAGAGGGGGAACACTAGTCAGAAGAGATGATGCAGTGGGGTCCGAGGGTGGACATGCTTGGGGATGGGAAGGGGCCTTGGTGAAGAAAAGATGAGGAAGTGGGTGACAAAAAGATGTAATTGTGTGGAGGAAGGAACTGAGTCAGAGCTTTCACCCCTATCTGGCAAAAGTAAATGACATTGAGTCAACATCACAAAGATATGGCTGAGAAAGTGAGCTCCAACAGTCTCTGACGCCTCATATGAAAGCCACCATGGGAATAAAAGGCCTTTTTCCGTCCTTGAAACATATTGTTCAAGTATATAATTCTCTTTATATGTCAATCATGTCTCAATAAAAACAAAACAAAAAACACAAATATGCCATTCTCTTGAATTTTAAGTTGACACTGAGAACTTACCTTCCAGAAAAGAGAAATCTGTTGTCTATTGTAGTCAATGTTCTGCTTCATGTACCAGACATCTAATGTCCCAGTAGGCTCTGATTTGAAGGGGAAAGAACATATTTTCATGTATAAATATACACACAATATACAACCTTTAAAAGTCAATGGGTTTTTTAATTCTGGGAGAGTAGGATTATAAGATACTTTCAATTTTCCTTATGCCCTGTTTTTCTTTTTCTGTTGTTAAACAATGAACATGTATATCTTTGACCAAAGGGAGCTCAAAATTACCTTAAAAACAAATTTTAAAAAATTGGTGAGGAGGAAATTAGATGTCTAGGTTACTCTTAAAACATATATTAATAAAATAACTCAAAGTATGTATGGTTATTTCTTTTTTATTGGAATGCATAAAGAATTCTCAGCAAAAAATAAAGACAGAAATCATAAGGAGAACATTTTTTGATGCTCTAAAAGTACAAAATACAAATAATAAACTTTGTGTTCAGTACATTCCTGACCTAATGTTGTACAGCAATTAATTGGTTTTATGATCACTAGACAATGGGTTACTTGAAAGGAAGCCTACCTCATGCATCTTTGTATTTCTCCTCCCTAGCACCATACTTAGAGTGTAACAGGCTCCCAGTAACTCTTTGTTAAATGATGAATAAACAAATCAGGCAATATTATCCACTTGATGCTAACATACAGGCTGAGCTGAGAGAAGAAATAACTACCAATCTATAAGATAATGGTCAAATATGACTGAACTTAATATGAGAAAGTCAATCAAGCATGCTTGAAGAAAAACTAAATAATCACCTCCTGTGTTTTAGAGAGAGAGAGTGTGTGTGTGTGTGCATGTGCACATGTGAGTGGGTGAAGTAGTTTTATTTCTCCCACTATCAGATTTGTTTTGGTTTATAGCCAGAGGTGGAATCAATATAAGCAGCCCCTGAAAATAGGCTTCAATTGCACCAACCTTGCTTGTTGAACAGTGACACTTAGAGTATATTTAAGGTCAGGCTGTTGTGGGGTTCCTTTAGAGTAGCACGTTCCATTTAACCAGATGGAAATTTCCAAAAAATTAAGTTCCACTAGGATAACAGAAGACAAATAGCCAGGGAAAGGAAAAGAGAAAGAGAGAAAGGAAGGGAGCACATGTACCAGCACATACTATGGGCAGGTCCTGGGTGGACCCATTCACAGTGGTGATATCTCATGTCCTCCTCACCACTGTGACGTGCATAGCTTCAGGGCAGTGGTTTAAGTGTGAACTCCAGAGCTACACTATCTATGCACAAATCCCAGCTCTGTGATTTTTGAACAAATGTTAACCATGTCCTTAAGCCAGTTTCCTCATCTGTCAAGTGAGTGTCATAATTCTGAGCATCATATGGGCTGTTCTGAGAATTTAAAGGAAGAGAAGAATGCTGATACATGGTAAACACTCAGTCAACTTGGCTGTCGTTTTCTTCATTTGAAAATGGAAGTGCTGAGAGGTAAAGGAATTGTTCAAGACCCCAGAACTACTAATCAGAGAAGCCAGGCTTTGAATACAGGTCTGTTTCATGTTTCATTTCATAGCCTGTGGTCTTCACTCTGCACCGTGCAGTTGCCTGGTTCTGAGAAGGCTTATGATTGCTCTATACTTCCTTCCAACCCTCTGTAGGTGCGCCTCTTTCATGTTCTACTCTCTTCCTTTGTCACTTCCTCTTCCTGCCTCTCTTGCCTTCTTTTCTTTTTGTTTTTTTTTTCTAAACACTCACTTATTTTCTTCCCCCTCTCTTTCCACCAGTGGTAGTATTTACCCCTATAGTGAGGACTTAGCAGTTAGAAATACATACATAAGACATCTCCAAAAACTCAATCCTTTAGGATATGAAGAGTGACCCAGGAATCAAGCTAGGACTTTTTTTTTCTAGACCAGATTTGAAAAAGGAAAAACGCACAGGCAACAAAAGGAATGGGAACCTGACATCTATTAACCACTAACTATGTGCCAGGTAATATTTGGACATTTTATATGCATTACTTCACTTAGTCCTCACACATTGCAGGAGGTGCCTGGGATTACATCGATTTTACAGCCAACAAAGGTTAAATGATTTACAAAAGGCATACAGCTGGTAAATGGCAAAACTGAGAGCTGAGCTAGGTCCCCAAAGGCCCTGCTCTTCCATCACAGTTCATTATGTGGAACAAAGATCTGAACAATTCGCAAACCAGGTAATCCCGCCATTGACACATAATCAGGATATGGAAATATGGGTGTGCTCAGTGTCGAAGCCAGTTGACTTATTCCAAAGAGCTAATTGTCTTCAGTTAACTACATATTGGTAAGAAATTTAAAGGGAACACTCATTGCTTCATTAAAGATCTACAACTTACCATATTATTACAGAGCTAAAATTTGAATTCTAGAATCATAGTTTCTTCAAAGGAGAAATTGCAACTGAAACTGAAAAATTAATGGTGGCTACCTGCAGTGTAAGCCGCTAGGGGAGAGAAACATTAGTTGAATCTGTATGAGTTTCAAAGTGTAGAATTTTCATGACCAGGGGTGTCAAACCACTGCTGCTTAACACAATGTAAGGGCTAATATTAAAGAGAATCTTTGATAGTCAACTGTCACAAAATCATTTAAAGTTCTAACCACAGTGTTATCTAGCACAAGACAGATGAAACTATTATAGGCAGGTGAGAAAAAGAAAGTCAAAGACCCATATATCAAAGTGATTACAAAACAAATGGGTACAATTGATTAAATATACAAATATTGAGAAATGGAAGTCAGCTCTCCTGAGATGAAACTAACTCCTATGTAAAGGGAAATACAGTAGGGATAACTAGAGTCACCAATATTTAAAAAAAAAAGGAAAAGGGATTCTAAATTAAGCAAGAGATTGGCCTAAATGACTTAAATGATCTTGAGGGTTCTTTCAACTCTAAAATCCCAAAATCCTGGGATTCTATGAAACTGTATGTGTGGCAAACAAATCAGAGTGAAGCCATGTGTTGCTTTTCAGATTAGCATCCACATCTGAAGCCAAGGTAGTGCAGGGCTGTGGACAAGAGCAACTGAATTGGATAGAAAGCTATCCCTCCACAGAGGTTTTAGCAGGCAATGAAGAGAAGAATAAAGATCCCCAAGAACAGTGAAATTGGAGAATTTAACAAAAAGTAAATATGGAAAAGGTGTATCTCCAGTGGTTCAGGTAAAATTTTTTGGTTCAAGTCATGCTCTAAGCAGGGCAAGAGAGAGAGAGGTCATTCACTGACTTAGTTCCTTGATGTCCACTCTTTAGTCTGTGATATATTTGTCTAAAATCTAGTTTCAAACAATTCAATTCAAATAGGTCTTACAAACACCTACGTGATGAAACAAGTTCTCAGTGGTCGGTTTTTGCCTTCAGCTGTTATCATCTGTTGTGCTTCCTTGAGAAGACCTAAATAGACTTCCATTTCCCCCCTTTGATTGATGACTTTTAACACTTGGTTTTGGCTCTTTTCACCTCTTTCTGTCACTATTCTTGATGCCCTATCATCCACATAGGTGTACTTTCTCAAAGGCTGTACTTTCAGTCTCTCCACCTACTCACACTCAATGATCTGTTTCTCTCAACTGATGCCTTTGCCTCACACTTTGCTGAGCAAAAGGAAGCAACCAGGCAGGAATTCCTCCATCTTTCCACCATGACAGCTTTCAGGCTTCATCACCCTAACCCTGACACAGCACCCCACTGATTTTACTTTGGATGAAGCACCTCTACTTTCATCAAAGTTCAATCCATTAACCTGAGTTCTGAATCCCATCCTCTCTTGCTTTATCAAGAACCTCTCTCCCACTTTTCTTGTATTTAACTTCTCTCTCTCTGCTAGGCCCTTATCATTGCCTTATAAATATACTGTATCAGTGATTTTCAACCGATGTGCCACAAGAATTTTTAAAACATCCAATACCTGACTATTTAGTCAGGAACACTGACCTCTTTTCCCTTAGATTGTCAAATAAAAAAATGATGACAGCCAACACAGTCTGGTGTGAATGAATCAAAATTATTCTTATTTTTTTTGTCAGAACAGCAAAAAATATATTTTTTGGTGTGCTGCATAATTTTAGTAATTAATTTATGTGTGCCATGAGATGAAAAAGGTTGAAAATTGCTGTACTATATAATATCTCTGATCCTAAAAACAAAAACAAAGAGACAAAGCATTTCCTAATACCATATCCTGTTCTAGCTACTGCCTTGCATTTGTGTTCCCCTTCACAGAGCTTTTTGAAAAGTTGTGAACTGTCATTCACCTCCCACTCACTTGCATCCCATTCCAACTGAGGTTTTGTGCCCATCACTCTATTGGTTGGCAATAAACTCTGTGTTGCCAAATCTGACGTTCACTTCTCTGTTCTTATGTCATTGGACTTCTCAGCAACATTTGACATATTTGAGAACTCCTTCTTTGTTTTTTTGAGAAACATAATCTTTTAATATGAAGAATGAGCTCCTTTCTTCATAGAAACAGAGATGTTTCATCCATAATAAAATCAATGGAGGCATTGTGTTAGAGTGCTGTGGAGTATTGATAGAAAAAAAGTAAGTTGTAAAAGAATACATATAGAATATAATTTTGATTAAGTTAAAAAAAAATAAGAAAAACTAATAATTGTTTAAAAATATATACATTTTAGAAGGCTATGAGAACAGTATGAGGATGATAAAAACATACAATTCAGGATAGTGATTACTTCTGGAAAGGTATAACGGGTAAGAATATATTGGTAATTTCATAGTATTTAAGTAGAACAGTGAGTTCCTAAGTGTTCATAGTGTTCATTTTGTTGTTATGCTTTTTCATGAGAAAGTAGCTTAATCTAGGGCAATCACAGTTGGCCATGGGAGTAACGAACAGATTTTGAACATGCTCAGGAAAACAAGTCAATTGGTGATATGGGGAAGTGAGAGAAGAGGGAAATTTAAGAATAATTTCTCAATTTTTGACTTGAGTATCTAAGAAGATGGCGTGTCATTTATTGAGATAGAAAAGAATGTAACAAAAGTATTTTTGAAACAGTTTGTTTTGGAGAAGAATTAAGGTTTTGTTTAGGTTATGTGAGGTTTAGGATGTCTGTTGACATCTAAGTGAAGATATAAAATAGGTGCTAGAAACATAAACCTGAAGTTCTGGACAGGCTCCAGACTACAACTATATATTATATCTATCTATCTATCTATCTATCTATCTATCTATCTATCTATCTATCTATCTATCTATCATCTATCATCTATCATCTATCTCTCTATTCTGTTTTAGAGCCCTGAGACTGAATGAGGTCACCTGAGAAAAGAAGGGGCCCAGTGTAAAGCCATAGGGATTGAGATTGAGAAGAGAAAGATGGCCATCAAAAGAGACCAAGACTTGTCTGATAAAGTAGAATAAAAAACAGGAATGTGAGGTTTCACAGAATTCAAGAGAATCAAGTACTTCAAAGCGGAAATAACCCCTTCCCCGACTACAATGACTTTGGAGGCCCTATGTTTCAGATAGAGGAAAACCATAAGATTCCCTTTGGACTCTGCATTTCTTCTCATGCCCTCTCCTCCAGGAATCTTTCCCTGATGTTCCAAGATACACCCTTGAATCTGAGGATCTGACTAGTTATCATTGTATCTCAGCACCTGATGTAGTTCCTGATACACGTACATTCCCCACAGACCATCCAGAGAAGCATATATATTTCATTGGTTTCTGTTTGGAGGGGGCTTCATGGAAAACATTTCTTTCTATTGGGGTGATCACCATCTTGTAAAATAATTGAGCTTAGGCATTTATTTCTTCCATGGTACATGTTGGGCTTAAAGGAGGTCAAAAGAAGAGAAGAGGGTAGGGACTGGCTTTGGACCTCAAATAAAACACTTCCTTTCTAATGAAAATGTTTGCATGTAAGTCTCTTTAGAAGGGTTAAGAGGCTTTCATTCTCATTTCCTCAAGCCTCAAGCAAAAAGGCATAAGTATGATACTTTCAAGTTTCACTAGTTTCGGAGTCAGCAAACTATAGCCCTTGGGCCAGATCTGGCACAGTCCCTGTTTTGGTACAGCCTGTGAATAATAATGGTTTTTACATTTTTAAATAGTTGAAAACAAATCAAAAGAAGAATCATTTTAAGTGACACGTGAAATTATATAAAATACAAATTTCAGCGTCCATAAATAAAGCTTTAATGGAACACAGCTTTGGCTAAGTATTTATACATTGTCAAAGGCTGTTTGCCCGCTACAGTAGCAAATTTTAATAATTGAGACAGACTGTATGGTCCACAAAGCCAGAAATGTTTACCATCTGGACCTTTTACAGAAAATGTTTGCTGACCTCTAAGCTAGACTGTTCATGAAATTCTTGCTAACCAAGACGGTAAAATGACCTTTAGTGTTTAATTGTTCACACCTAACTGATTTTAACAATATTTTAAAATTACAAATGAATGAAGGAATTGCCTAGCTTCTGAATGTGAAGAGAGGTGGCTGCTGCCGGTAACCCTGCATTTTCTCTCTCTTTGGGGCTGTCTCACTAATCACCCACATCATCACCATGATAGGGAAGGGCTCCTCCTTTACCACTCTGGCACAAGTATGAGAATGTAACTTCCTTTATTAAGTGTCCACAGTAGAGTTTAGCAAGGCCAAAACTTGAAAATAAGACTTTAAAAAATGGTGAATGAACAGATAGAAACACCAAATTGATAATATAGTTCCAAGGAATGTCTCATTCATCTTAGTTTTGGAGTCTCTTCCCGGGTGTTCTGAGTAGTGAGGGGTCACCTTCTCCCAACATCTGAGCATATTCTCAGGCATGTATGGACACCACACAGCCCAAATTCAAGAGGGTGTTTTCCCATTAGAAGGAAAATATGGTTGCTCAATTCCCAGTATCGAGCCTGCCTTTGATGTATACTGATTGTGGAACTGTCTTAAACACAGAAAGTGGTTTCTTTCCTCCTACCCCTTACTTAGTGGCCATTTAAAAAGTGTTTTTCATGGAGGACGATTACTGGAGTTAAACTAGATGACCCAGGAAAAGGCCATATGAGGTAAATAACGGTCCATTTCCTGTCGACATGATATAAATAACTGTGCCCAGTCCACCAGGAGACAACATTTAGCTCTCAGTTTTGGTAGCAAAGGATCATTCATTTTTAGAGTAACTAAAAATAAACGCTTACTAGTAATATTTTTAAATGCCAAGTTACATATGAGTATATATTTAAAGGGTTAAAAGGAAGACGTGTTAAAAAAATTTCACACCTTTTAGGTTTACATCAGTTGGTGTTTCATAAAGAAACTGATGACAGAAATAGTGGTAAGAGGTGAAAACCATGCAGCTTAGAGTAAGAGAAAAGAGACCCTACAACATCCCACAGAAAGATCAAACACCAAAAAGGGAGATTCAGACAAAAGGAAGCCAACAGAGCTTGGTAACGGTGGTATATCTCAGAGTATGGGTTTCTCTCTTTATGAATGCCTGCAACTACTCTGAAAGAGCCAGCTGTCTTCTTTCAACTCACAATCATCCACGAGTTCTTAACCATAAGTTGCGGCACTCATTGTTATGATGGTAGTTTATTTTATAGAATATGAGAAAGTTATTCTCCTACTTTGAAGGGTTTTTAATTCAACAGATAAACACTTAAAAAGAAAAGAAAACCCCTTTCATACATCTCTAAACAAGTCATTATCAAAGTGAGTAAGTGACAAGAATTCACAAGACCAGAGTTTCCTTTCTTTATCGTTTAGCCTAATGTGATATAACAAATATTTCCCAGCCTACTTACTGCCTTGAACTTATAAAATATGACCCATTTTTAAGAATTTTATCTGTACTATGTATAAGTAAAATAAAATCCATGAAGGCTTTTAAAAAATACATTATTTTTGCCTGGCCAGTGTGGCTCAGTGATTGAGCATTGACCCATGAACCAAGAGGTCACTGGTTCGATTCCCTGTCAGGGCACATGCCAGGGTTTCAGGCTTGATCCCTGGTAGGGGGCGTGTAGGAGGAAACTGATCAATGACTCTCTCTCATCACTGATGTTTCTATTTCTCTTTCTCTCTCTCTGAAATCAATTAAAAAATATATATTTTAAAAAAAGTTATGTCTCCAGAATCTTCCTTCTTTCAAGCTTTTAGTGGCTCACAAGCTTTTAGAGCCAAATTAATTTTCATAGAATCCAAAAGGTAAAATGTATCAAGGTCTAACTATGAAAGAATGAAATTAATTACTGGTTTAGCTTTGTGACAGAGAATTACTGAGATAGTAAGTGCAATAGAAATAGTAAGTGCAATAGAAATAAGACTTATAACCAAACATTGCTGAGGCATAAACTTGTAACCAACATGAACAACATGTGCCAAACAGTAAGATTTACCTAATGTTAAACATTTCCTAGTAATATAAACATATCTCTCTGACAGTTTCAGAACTTAAGTTCATGTGAAAATTAACTTGTTAATTAATGCATTCATACTTTTTGATTCAGTATCAGTACTTTAGAGATTCTGTTTCAAGGAAATCATTGCATTTTCCTCTTTCCCTCCTTTCTTTCTTCCCCTTCTCTCCCATTCTGCTTTTTTTTTTTTTTAAACACATACCTTCTTCTGGTGTTTGCATTCTCAATGATTCACTCCAATTACTCCAACTACCTTTATAAAGATGTAGCTTAGAGGAAACCTGAAATTCATATTCTGTAAATGGTTTCAGATCCAACAAATCATGTCTTCCTTTGGCATTTGTAGTATTAACCTTCAATCAGAGAAGATATTTAAAGGTGAGTATTAATACTACATTAATTTAAAGAATTTTAACATAAGGTAAAGAACTAGACCAGATAACCCTTTTTATTTTTTCAGATCGGTCATTCAATGAAAAGAAATATTAATGGCTGGGTTACTGAATGATGATTAATCTGAAATAATAGCGTCTCAAAAAAACAAAAACAAAAAACTCCTGAGATTAAGAAATTATCTGTATGAGTTCCAAGGAGGATCCTAAAACTAGCTGGAAAAGGAGTACAGGTTGAAAACTACAAATTTTCAAAAAGGCCTTTGAGAAGTTTCTACATTAGAGGGTTTTTTTATTTATTTGGTCACAATTAGAATGTGATGCATATTTTAACACTTCTATAGACGACATAGAACTGGTTTCAAACAGAAACTTTTAATTATATAAGATTATTTATCAGCTATATGTAAAACTGACCCTTTGTCATTATAAAACATTCTAAAGACCATTACCATATTCCAGGACCTGCTGTTACTGGGCCGATATCTGAGTCGATTAAGCAGCACCATCCCCTCATCTCTCCACTGAAGAATGCATCTGCTCACAGAATCATTTACAAATTGGATTCCGATGTCCCACGGAGGAAGAGGCTTCACTGGTAACCAGGATAAACAAAAAAGTGTGATTCAGGCTCCACAACTGAAAATTGTCTTATATTTTGACGTGAGCTATAAAGAATTGAACAAAATTAATCTCTAAGATGCATGACCACCAAATTTGGTGAAATAAGAGAGAAGTCCCTGGCTTTTAGAAAAAAAAAAGTTTGATTCCCTTCTAAATCATTAAAATAATTCCTTTGCTATGCCGAAGTGGCTCAGCAGTTGACCTATGATCCAGGAGATCGCAGTTGGATTCCCTGTCAGGGCACAGGCCTGGGTTCCGGGTTCAATCCCCAATAGGGGGCGTGCAGGAGACAGCTGATCAATGACTCATCGTTGATGTTTCTCTCTCTCTCTCTCTCCCTCTCCCTTCCTCTTTCTGAAATCAATAGACATATTTAAAAAGTAATAATAATAATTCCTCTCAATCTACCCTCATTTTTACCAAATAAACTACCACCAACATTAATGACAGTCTTGATTCCATTTAATCCAGTGATTTAAAGAAAACCGATGTGCCAAATCCTAGAGTTCCAATGGCTGAGAAGGCAGAGGTGGCTAGTGGTGATCGCCTCAGGAGAAGAAATGTTGGTAGAAAAGTCACAAGAAGGAGACATAGGAACAGGGGAACAGAAGAAAAGAATAAGAGGGAAGAAAGTGGCTTAGAGATGTCTGTGTAAAGAGATAGAAGGTAGGATGGGAAGAAGTGTGATAGGAAAATGCATAGTAAATGCCTATGTTCAGACTTATAGTCAGCAGTGTGTATGCAGAGAGGCACAGTGGAAAGAGAGAAGAGAAACACATAGTGTGAGGCTGGGACTTCAGGCAGGCCAGAAACCAGTCCTACCTGGGATGGGCAGAATTTGAGAATGGTCTTTGATTCAGCTGGGCCGATTATATGTGCTCAGAAATGTGCTGGGACTGGCTCATTCCAGCAACCAAGCTGAGAGGAGTGGAGGTAAATATTTGCAGGGCTAGGTGCATTTAAACCTTGATACATTTTATTTATAGTTTGCACTCGCTGCTCTAGTGCAGCAGGTAGCCCAAACATGTAGCCTAACTCAGGACAGTGGAGTAGCCACAGGGTCAAAATGATACCTCTACCAAGACAGGCCTACACTGAGCTTCTTGAATAACCTCACAGGACCCTCTCTCACTCAGATGGTGTTTAGTGGCAGCGGGTGCCTTCAAAGAGTTTGAAGCCAGGGGCTCCTATTTGTCCAATATAGAGAATGATGTTGAATTTTGTACAACCATGTCCATATAGCTCTAGGATGATGCACCTGTTTACTTACATCATAATAATGTTTTTCCTCTGACTATGCCTATTGGTCACTTTCCATCAACTGCTGCCTCTTTTGAAACAATCACATAGAGAACATTAGAGTGATTTTAAAAATAATGTTCATGTGCCAACGTATGACACCTACAAAAAGTGAAATAAAATGTACCTATGTCCAAGAATGTGAATGTGAATGGAAATGAAGAAGCACTTCCAAGACTATTGATAGCAGTAACCTTGGCTGTGTAACTGGATTCAGGTGATTCAGGGTTTAGGTTGATTCCAAGGTCCAAATGGTCACAATAATAATCATTACATTGTTTCTGCCATGTTAAATTTTTTGGTCCATTTAACCTGTAAATAAAAGAGGATTGTGTTTAGCAGGATACATTATGTACTATCTTCTCCTTTTAATATTAAAGAACAAAATTTTCAAATATTTAAAATTCTAGACATCTTTTTAAGGTCAGTCATTACTAGAGGGAACACTATGGAAATATTTGTCTTCTATGGTCATAAATAGGACTACACTTCCCCCATCCCTTTTTTTGGCAGGACTGAGACTTTTTTTGATGTTCAGAGAGATGAGTAACCATACCTACACTGCCTGAATTGCCCAAACCCTGTCTGACATCTTGGCTCCTTAGGTCAGATCTGAAGGATCCATGGTCGCCTTGGCATTTACTGCACAGAACTGCCAGCTCCTAGTACAAACCAGAACCCTGGGTCCCACTTCCTTTCCCCCATCTGCTGCTCGATCAGGTATAGAGCAACCCAATGAGACCCTTAGATGGGACTATGGAATCAACTGCAAGAAACAGAATCCCCCAGAATCTCTCTCTTTGTGGACTCTCAGGTCAGGTAAAGGTGCTTTGAAAAGAAACTCCTGCATTGACCCGGGGGGCACCAAGGAGTTGCAGGTTCGATTCCTGCCCAGGGCACATGCTTGGGTTGTAGGCTCCATCCCCAGTGGGGGGCGTGCAGGAGGCAGCTGATTGATGTTTCGCTCTCATATTAATGTTTCACTCTCATATTGATGTTTCTTTCTCTCTCTTCCTTTCCCTTCCTCTCTAAAAATCAATTTTAAAAATCTTAAAAAAAGAAAGAAAGAAAAGAAAAGAAACTCTTCCCAGGTTGATGGAAAGCTCCCACAAGGAAGAGTCTATTTTATATATCATGACCACAAGAGTCTGCATCTGCAAAAAAGGAAAGGGATATGATGCAGCCAGTTTAACCCTCCTAGAGCAACATCCCCAGCATGGGCCCTGGGTGCCCTGAAGAGAGCTCAGAGTTAGGCCTCAGACCCAAGGCATCAGTTCTCACACTTTAGAGGAATGAATCAGTTTTAATTGATGAACACTGGAATTGTTTTTTTAAAGCATCTAATGATCTAGAGATGTCTATAGCTTCTTCTTGCTGGTAAAACTAGAACTATCAGATATTTCTAAATGTGATCTTACAGAACACCCACAAAAAAGCTCCAAAAACAGTCTCTTACTCACTGTAAAGTATACTCAGTATATAGGTGGGTGTCTTGTCCTCTGTCCCAGGTGCAGGCCAAGGTCCCATGTTCTCCCTTTTGTGTACAAGATAAGTTTTGAGGCTGTTCTGGAGCAACTTCAAAAATAAAGAGCAAAATCATACATATTTTAAATGCCACACAAGTGCTAATTCAATCACATTGTTATTTGTCAACAAGATAACAATACTTTCTCTATATGTCCCATACCCAGACAAGCTGGTAGCTAGTTTAGATCCCATCAAGTTCAAATTTGCCTCTGAGGCATGCATTTCTTCTACTAACAAAAGCAATAATAGTGGCTACAGATCAAACACTTACTACATGCCAAGTCCTATGCTAAGTGTTTTATGTGTGGTTTTTCTCAATTAGACATCACAGCAGCTACATTATATACATACTATTATCCTCACTCTGTGGAAGAGGAAACTAAGACTTAGAGGTTAAGTATGTTGCCAAAGATTACAACACTATGAAGTGGCAGAAGCAGGGCTCCAGCCCAGGTGTGGCTGACTTAAGTCCAAGCCTTTCACCACCATATTCTACTATTCTCCCTGGCAGGTGCATACCCAGCGCTACCTCCATTACCCCGGCGATGATGGGTTTACCTTTCCAGAATAAAGCCCATTTAAATATTAGAAACCTTTAAAAATCAGGGGCTCTTTTTCTCCATTGACCTGAAATTTGCTGCCAAGACATTTCTACCCACTGGCCTTACTCATGTCCTTCTGGCGGGGTACCACCTAAATCTGATTTCTGCAACATCACTTGGGGCACTTTATGAACAATTATAAATTAATTATTTATTGAGTAGCTTCCATTGGCTAGGCACAGTGCTAGCTGCAGAAATACAGAAGTCTACAAGGCAGACATGGTCCCTTCTATCGTAAGGTGTGTATTTTTAAGTGAAGCCATTTTATAGTCAAAGACAGAATTCAAAGCTAGAAGTTTCTCAGATGTAACAGTCATCATATTCTATCCTCATGCTGAGACTCACATGTAGATAGATGTTTCCCTTTGGATGAGACAAAACAAGTATATCACTAAAGCCCTCTGTAATTGACAGAATAAATTTTTTTTGGTCCTTAACACACACCATAGAGCAGGCACAGTAACTGCCAACTGTGTAACCTTGGCCAAGTTAACTCCTCAGAGCTTCAGTTTCTTTATCTATAAAATGGATATAATAATATATAGCTCATATAGTTTTGTTTAATGGAATAATACTCTTTTCCTAGAGTAATAGACTCTTCCTTGTATGCACATATATTATATACACATATACATATGTACATTTATATATTCACTTTATACATCTATATACACTAATTCTAATTGCAACTGAGGCATGTAGAATACTAGGCTAACTTTTCATTTTATGTACAACTTTTTGTTTATTTTGAAGTTAGTTTTTGTTTTCCATTTGTTTAATGTTTATTATTATTTAGTTCCAAACTCTCAAGCCAATTAACTGAGTCACTGTTAAAGATATTCAGATGCACTGAGAATTCTACCAGTTTCATCTGCTTGAAGACCTCTTTCCTGGAGCATATTGAACTTTTCAACACGACTGGTTTTCCTCTACACCTGGTACACAGCTATTATTCTGGGACTGCCAATCTTTGGTGTCCTGGAAATTCTCCCTTTTCCTGTGTTGGAGCTCCTGTGCCTTAGAACCAATGCTTTCTTCTTTCTTGACTTAGTTACATATGTTGGTGGAGTATATCTTACTGCAGTTACCTGGGAAACGGTGCAGAGGAGGAAATATTTTTAGCACAGCTTAAATGTCTTTATTCTATCCTCACACTTGACTGATACTTTGGCTGAGTATAAAATTACAGGTTGAAAAGCATCTTCAGTCAGGATTCTTGAGGCCATGCTCTGTTGTCTTCTATATTCTAGGTTGCTGTTGAGAAGCCCAACATTCTGATTTTTGAGTCATTGTAATAGTCCATTTTTTCTCTTCAGAAGATTGTAGGCTTTTCTTTGTCCCCACTATTCTGAATTTTCACAAAGGTGTGCTTAATGAGGGCCTACTTTCTTCTGCTCTTATGGATTCTCAAAGAGTTCTTACATTCTGCAAACTTTTGTCCTTTAGTTTGGGAAGAATTCTTGATTTCTTTGAGATTCTCTCCTTGATGTTTTTCTTCTTCCTATAAATCCTTAGTTTTCATAGACTGGACTTTCTCCTAATTTTATATTTTATCCTCTATATTTTAAAACTCTTGGTCTCTTTGCTCTAGTATGAGGGAAAAACTTCCTCAGTTTATATATCTACCCTCCTATTGAGTTTTTCATTCCTGCTTATTTGGGTTGGGGGCATATTTTCTACTCTCAAAATATTTTCTTTTCATAGCATCCTATTTTTAGCCCCACTTCATCAATTTCTGAGTCTTTCTGGGGTAGGAGCTTCCACATGAAATCAGCCTGCATCTTGACTTTTCCCACTGCCAGCTTTAGGCCAAACCCATTTTCACTGGTCCATCTGCTTTTCAGCTTCCAAATGTTGTTAATGTATCCCTCCTCCCATTTTTTTTTTTTTTTTTTTTTTTTTTTTTTTTGGGTT